CAGTTGCAATTATCAGGGAAGCGGTTGGAATTTTAAGGAAGAAACAGCACATCCAGGAAAGATAATGCCTGTTAAAAAGCCACACAATGCTGTTGACTGCTTTCATTCTAGAGTAAAGGAAACTGTACGCTTAAAATAACAGCAGTTTTGGTAGCTGTTTCCCAGTTACAAAATATCCGCTTGTTTGCAAGCCAGAAAGAGGAATTCAAATAGCTGTTACCTTCTGCTACTATATTCCCCTAGTCTTTTTCCGTTAAAATATATCCTGGTTTGTTGGAAATCTCTTATTAAAAACAGTAGAGTGAATTTGCTGGAGAAGCTTGAAATCCAAAATAAAAAATAAAAAAATTCATCTATCTTAAATCAAAGTGTATCTGAACCAAGTAAGTCTGACCCGGTTAAATAAAAATTAAAAAGTCGTATTAATTTTACTTACTGTTTAAATATCTGAAAAGTTCTCCAAATAGTCATATTAATTACACTGCTAGTTAATTTTAGAAAATAATGCAATCTGAAAAGTGTTCCATGGGAAAATGTAACTGTGGAAATTTTTCCATCCAACACCACTGATTAAATATTTGGACACAAACTGTAGGAAATGTCTTTTTGTGATGCCTCTATAAAGTATACCTAAAACCCACCCAGTTAAGAAATTATGTCATGCCTCCAAAAAGGCTTTCTAGTTTATAGTCTTGCACTGAAATTCTAACATTTCTAAGGATTCTACACCTAAAAAAAAATCACAGCACCTGGTATTCCAATCCCCTCAATTCAAAGCCAAGTTCAGGTAGTCAATCCTAGGAATTCTTGCAATGGGTCTTTAGTGGCCTAAACATTAGTAGCACCGAAAAAGAGACCTGTAACAGACACCCACTAGCTCTGTTAAGGTGACTGCAGAAACAGTATTCAAGGATGCTGAAGAAAACTAAGCACATGTCTCCTTTACTTTTTCAACTATTTGCAAAATTTTAATTTTGCTTTTATAAAACTTTAATAGCAAAGCCAAATGCCATTACAGAACAAAACAATTATCTTTGGATGTGTCTATCAGGGATCCTTGTGAAACACTGAGAATATTAACACAAAGTGAAGGAAGTCATCACACATTTTCTTAAAAGGCATTATTGGATGAGACCTCAGTTTGTTTCTAGTTATAAGTATTTTAAGTTCAATATTTGTTAGTCATTATTCCAAATATGTGTATAGTGTGATGGGGGTGTGTGCTAATTTTTCTATTTTCAAGATAGCCAGTTTAGGGGGCATCAACTTAGACTGAATGTATATGGTCATTGAGACCAAAGTTCCATGTTATATTATATATTCAAACTTGTGCTTTCTAAAGTAAAACATATGCCTACCTGAACCAACAGGGGAGGAGCCAACACTGAGACTTTGTAGACTTCCATTCCTAAGCAACGTTGGAGATTTTTGCAAATTAGAACTGGTTATACTTCCTGCAGCAGATGCCACAGATGATGTTGGGGAGGCAGAACAAACCGATAGGTGGGAAATATTCTCCTGACTTTTATTTCCTTTTGGCCTACCAGGCCCATGTTTACACTGCTTATTTCCTTTCCGCTTCTTTTCCTTTACAGTTTCATCTTCTGTCCCAGAGGACTGAACACGCTTGTATCCTGTTGATGTAAGGCTTGAATTACCCAACTCTCCAGGTGAGCTGTCAAAAATATTAGGCTGGGAGGCAACAGTTGAGGTTGAAGGAAGACCAATTAAGGAAGTAAAACAATTCACACCCCCTTCCTGGCTTCCAGTCTCTCCTTTATGTACATCTTTGGTCGACAATGTCTGCTGGGAATGAGTATAGCTGTCATTACGTAGATCCGAGTCTGTAAAACTCAAAAAGTCCTGGGGAGACTGAACTGAACTTCCGGAAGATGACTTTATACTACTAGGAGTTCCCAAAAAACTTCCTGGAGAAAAGAACAAAAAAGAGTGTTAAACATAAAATAAACTGGCAAATGTGTAAGCACAGCAATACAATTAGCACATGTATCTTGTTGGCAAACAAGAAGTTACAGCAGCTTTGCTGTTTGTGTTCTATAAGAGTTTTGCTGCAGTCTTTGTGCCATCTAAAAGGGGCAGGGAAGTGGCAAAGTTACAGCACATGTTATGTTCTCATATTCCCAGCCAACCTTCATTTCTTTCAGCTCTTTACTGGCCTGGACAGTAATGACTGAGATTGCACTAATAAAATGGATAAAGCCCAAGCAAATCACAAAGCAGAGGTTCTTATCACTCTGTAATTCAACTTTGGCACCAATGTTCAAATTGTTTTATAAAACTGTTTTATGATATTGTGCCAATGAAAATCCTCTAGAATATAATTTCTCAGCCACAACTGCCCAGGGGCAGAAAAGATGTCAGGGTAACTGGGGGGGGGTGGCAGTGTGCCCTAAGTTTATCCCTGTTTCTATCGCTCTGACTTGCCCTTTCTAGATGGCACTGACTGCAGGCAAATCTGTATGAACAAAACATTTCTCAGAAAATGGAATCCAAACATGGCCAATATGTTCCCCTTCTAATTATTAGTTCTACCAGTTTCAGCAAAACCATAATAAATAAGTCTCAAAATAACTGAAAATTAATCACAAAGCTTTCCAATAGGAAAAGAATATTCCTACAATAAACATGAGCATTGTATTGAATGCCTTTTAAAATACTTTGCATATATGTCAAATGCTTTCAGTACAGAGGCTGATGAACATAACTGTAAAAAGTGAAGAGAGGTGGTTCAGATGTCATGACAAACCATAGTTTAGCATTATAACTGTGATCCTGGGACTCAATCAGTGACTGAGAGGTCTTGCAAAGTCCCTACTTGGCTCCTCAGAAATTTACAGTCAGCTGAAGGATTACAATAACAAGTCTCAATCTCATATAATTTTCCCTTCCCCCTCTATGAGGAGCTCAGAAACTTTAGACTGCATTGTAGATTAACCAGAGTTTACCACTATAAACTGTGGTTACTCTTAACCATAGTTTCTTGCAAGAAAGCAGCTAAGATTAAGCACAGTTAATTTTGGTACTGTGGCTGGCCACTGTGAGAACAGGATGCTGGACTAATAAAAATTACAGCATGCAGTAATTCCATGCTGGACGAAAAGGGGTTGGCAGCTGGTGGGCCTTAGGCCAAGAGAAAAATGTAAAAAGGCAGGACCATAAAAAACTGCACATGTTACACTATACAATTATACACAAATCAAAAATAAAATAACAATAAGATAAACCATATTCTGAAAACAACAGTAAAATGCAAAATCTACAGAAAATCAGAAGATAATGTGACTGAACAGCTTAATGCAAATAATAAAAAAGGCTTCCAGGTGCCAAACAATAAGATAAACAGCTTCTGAATAACATGATGAAATGTGTTGTATGTTATATGACAGAAGAGAATGGAAACTGATTCCACAGCTGCCAAACCATTCCCTCCCTTTTAGGTGTCTTGAAACAGCTTCATATAAAGGAAAGATAAGATAGGTTGACAACTAGTGTGATGTAGAGTGCTGCACTAGGAGGCACACCCACACCCACACCCCAGAAACTCAACAGTTGTTGCAAGGATAAAACTTGATGAAAGAAAGGTGGGGTATAAATTAGAAGAAGAAGAAGAAGAAGAAGTGACTTAAGACACACACTTGTCAGAGGTGCACTCCAATCTTTTCCTCCTAACTCCTCCCCACAAAAGGAGAATCATAAGGAGAACATCAGGTACATTAAGGAGAGAGGGAAGCCTCTAATCCCTGTTCACTTCCTACCAGCTCCCATATTTAAGGTAGCATGGAGGGAAACCAGAAAGTGGGTATAACTGTCTAGCCCAGTGGCAAAGTAGCCTGCCAGTAAGTAACTGCTAATCAGGGTATTTGAAGCCAAGTGTTCCCAATACACTTCTAAAATATAGGTTGACATTCAACAGGAGAAAATTAGGACACTTTACTGAGGAAAATGGCCAAGAGAGCTTTTCTTATATGTCTAATTTCTTCCTTGTTTGAGCACTAATCCTTTTGTCTTTATTCCAACATGCTCCCATACTGTGTAATGTTTATGTAAGTTGAGGACAGATATTATAGAAACTACAACAGAAAATCACCACAAGGTAATCCCGCTCAATATCTAAAGGAATAGTCTCAAGTGTAAGAAGAATAAAGAAGAAAAATTGTTTGTACTGCCCCAAAGGAAGCTGACATTCACATTTCATTTAGAGAGCTATGCATGATTACAAACAGTATTTCTTATTCTACTTAAATAGCAATATTTATCTCAAGTACACTCAGGTTACTATCCTATGCATGCTTACCTGGGAGTAAGTTGTATTGAACATAGTGGGTCTTACTTTTGAGTAAACATGCACAGAACTGCACTGGAAATGTGTGTGTGTTTTGCATTTATATCTTATACTAGGCAGTTTATGTCCTGTATATAATGTGGATAATATAAGCAAAATCCATTAGGAAGGATTAGATTTTCGTATGTGTTAACACACACTTGGTATTCACCTTTCTAGCCCACTTGAACCTATGAAAAGCTGCCTTATACAGAGCCAGACGATTTGGTCCATCATGACTAATACTGTCTACCCAATATTGTCCACCCTAACTAGCAGCATCTGGCGAAGGTCTTTCCCAGCTCTACAGCCTGTGTATCTGGAGATACCAGGGGTGGAAACTGGGACCTTCTACAAGCATGTTATCTGCTGTTTGATCTATTGTCTTTTCCCCACAAGCCCAGGACAGGCAACAACTACTTTTCAAACAGGCTGTTTTGAATCTGGAAGAGATGCCAAGGTATTTTGGCTTCCCACCTGTACCAGCTGTCTGGAATAAAGCCCAGGTATACTGAATAACTGCAGGGGTGGAAAAACAGGCATGGAAGGGGCTGTTTATAGCATCACAGAAAATTGAGGAAGGAGAATTGTAAAAATGAAGAGTTGGAAGGGACCACGAGGATCATCTAGTCCAACTCCCTGCAGTGCAATAATCTTTTGCCCAACGTTGGGCTCGAACCCACAAGCCTGAGACTGAGTCTCATGCTCTACTGACTGAGCTATCCCCCATCTCCCAAAGACCAAAGAGGGGGCGATTTTGTGAAAGTAAGAGGAACAGAAAGAAATACCACAGGAAGTTTGCAAAAACTGTTTGCTTGTAGGAGGGAATGGCGAGTGATAGGCCTGGAACTCTTAGGTTCATCAGCAGAGACCCAGGGTGACTTTGGCTTAGTTCAGATGATCCTCCACACCATGAGTTGGAAAATCAAGTCAAGTCTGGATTGCTTATTCTCACCTACACAAAAGATTCCCTCCTCCATTATAGTACAACCATAGTTAGTTGTATGTTGCAGCTAGGTTTCAAGCAATTATTTGAAATCGTGGTTTTGAAAAACATGGTTCAGAGGTTAGTATTAATCATAGTTGCCTGATTCTTCTGTCGTGGCAGTAGGGTATCTGTGTGCAAAAAGAGTGGATCATAACATATGGAAAGGATAACTAGACTGAAGTGAGCTAAATACGGTGTCAAATATTAAAATATCACCATTTAAACAAGCATTGATTATAGACCGTCCATTATTTAGTAAGTAGTATGAGCAGTTTGCTTTAAAAAAAAGTGTTACTGCGTGCAGACTAAAGAAATGTAGTGATTGATTAAATGTAATCCACAACCTGAAAGACTGTATGAATACAAAATCATTTGCCTGTGTCTCAGCTGGAAAAACAGGGTTCATCCCCTCAGATGGTTATATTTCATAGCTATAAAAATATTCCTGGAAAGGAATATTCTATTCACAATAATAGTACTTATCTATTTCAAGAAAAGGTGCATTACTGCTGCTAGTTGTCCCAAAACATTTTCTCTCCACTAAATTAGCATACAGTTCAGTTATTGCATTCATCAAATATAATACATAGAAAAGTACATCTAAATTTGCAAAGTTTTTAGCCTATTTAATTCTTGGCAGTCATGGAAGTTATATAGTATTCTTGAATAATACCTTGTTGAAAAGTACAAGCTGCTGACACCGGAGCTCCAGGAGTCCTTCCACCACCAGGCTTTCTTCCCCTCTGACCTGAATTATGACCTGCGGACTTCTTCCCTTTGCTCTCCGAACCTCTGGCCTCTGAAACATCTTTACCACTTGAAGCATGTGCAGACACTTCCTGGAAATTTGCATTTGTAAAGCGAGCTGCGGTATCTTCCAGCCTCTTCAATGAGCCTGTCATAGAGTTGTTGGTAGTGCTTGTGTAAGTCTAACAGTATTGAAGTGGGAAAGAGGAAGTTGAGAGAGACAGTTAGACCACAATAAATTAACTGTACTCCAAAAGACACACAATGTTATTTCAATTCAGAAACATAGATGAGTCCCAACATTCTAAAACAGCATAGAGAAAGTTAAACCTAACTATGCATTTAAAAGAAGTTATAAAGCTGCCACTTAAAATAACTGAGCACTTTAAAGGTGGGTTTTTAAAAAAAAATTTAAATGACAGGGAACTATAAAGAACAAAATACACTTACTAATATATCAGCAAGATATCAGCTGTCAGTTTTGCAAGCATCAGATTGCAGCAATTAGTAGAAGTGCACATACTGGCATCCCCTTACACTTAATCATGATACTTCTATTTATTAAATACAAAAAATGTCAGCTATTTTTCCAAACACTAGTTCCTGCTGAAATGTATGCTTTTGCAACATGTAACAACAGGTTATTCTGTAAGTTAATCTTTATTGCCTCAGATTTGCAGATATAAGCTTTTGTAAGATAGCTCTTTTCCTTTAGGTTGTTCAGACTATTGTAATTTGAAAGGTAATTTTTAATTTTCTGTACAACGTATAAAAGAAAATACAATATGATGAAATGAAATACACTTACACCAATAGTTATACTTATTCACTAACACATGTATGGATTTTTTCTGCAGTGCTGCTTGTAATTTAAAAATTAGTAATTAAATCTTAAATTAACTGGAGAAAATATTTTTGTATGACACAAGCTTATTATTCAAAATTCAAACCCCTTCAAAAAAAAAATTATTTGGCAGTCCATAAACAGGCAGTACCTTTTTCTTTTTTCCTATTTCCTTCATTGTACAATGTAAGTTGTGTTATACAATCCTTTTATAACTGTATCCATTTCATTCACTCCTGATTTTTCTTTTGACTTTATTAGGAAACTCCTTGCGTTTGACTTATATGATTTTGTTGTTAATGTTTGTTTTTCTCTTCATGTGTACTGTCTGTCTTTGTTGTTCAATAAAAATTAAAATAAAAAATTGTTTTGCTTATCTCAAACATCATAGTGCTAACAGTGCAATCCTATGGATGACTACTCAGAAGTTTCCTAAGAGTTTCAAGAACTTAGTTCCAGATAAGAAGGTTTAGAACTGCTGGTGAAGTATCAAAGACTAATGCAGAGACAAGCTGATTTTCTACCGGTAAAAATTTAGTAGTTTTGGGCCAGGATCTATAGAGCTCTATAAAAATGTCTAAAATACTTCCATATATGCACAAATGGATTGCATATTTCCCTTCTAGCTGCACACCCTTGAACCATATCAACTACTGCTCAAGAAGGCTTCCCCAACCCTCAAGTACAGTTTTTTTTTTAAGGGACAGCAGGTGCTGCAGTGCAAATCAGGCCTTTTTTAAAGAAAATAAAATGTGTGTTTGCATGAAACACCATTCACAGCCCTTTGAATTCTTGCCAAAGGTTTGTTTTTTTAAAACCAAAACAGAACACAATTCAGCCAACTGTTAAAAACTTAGGTTTCATTCATTTTAATGGAAAAGATTTGAACATCTCCTTAATGCTCTCTAATTGAAGTTCAAAGTGCTAAATCTGGGTAGATTGCACCCCTAATTCTGCAACAGAATTACTATGGGGTTTGTTTTTTGTAAAAGCCATGTTTTGGAAATGCTTCAAACAATTTTTTTCAAAATGGCAGACATAGGCCAGTGAAACAAGTGCTGTATGGTTTCACTTCATTAAGTGTCAACAAGCACTTTGTCCACTTAAAAGTTGTTGTTGTTTAAATTTGTATACCACCCTCCATCTGAAGATCCCAGTACAGTTCACAACATTAAAATACAAAATGAGAGTGCAAAATACATAATAAAACAAAAACAAACCAATAACCCCACTCCCACAAACACATTTAAAAAGCCATAGAATGCTAATCAGCCAAACACCTGGTTGAAGAGAAACGTTTTTGCCTAGCGCCTAAAGACATGTAATGATGGCACCGGGTGAACTTCCCTGAGGACAGCATTCCACAAATAATATAAACATATTTGACATATTGATTAAATTAAAATACTGCTTAAATATAAAGGCCAAATATATTACTTCTAATTTACTTCACACAATCTGGAAAAACACCAAATGTGAATCTTTAATGAAGTTTTTAAAAATATACCCCTGAGAAAAATATTGTGCAGTCCTAGTGAATCAGGTAGCAAGTGGCCATATACAATATAATAAAGACATAATAGAGAAAATTTATTTTTTCTAGTATTTCCACAGGGTCAAAGGTATTGCATGTTCATGTGTGACAAATGAAAGAAAGCTTTATTCAGAAACTTGTACCATGTTGGAATTTATCTGAGGTCCTCATTTCCCTTTGGGAAATTAATAAAATTAAACCATGTAGAAGCCATGTTAAACTTAACACCTGATGATTAAACTTCATCAAAGTTACAGCATTTTACATTAAATATGAGTTTCTCCAGTTCCATGGGTGCAACACCCAGAGGAACTTCTGCAAACCTGAGTTCCCCTGTGTCTTCTGCTGCCTCTCGTGTGGGTGGGTGGGGTGCCATTTTGATTCTATATGTATCAGCATTCATCCCATAAAATAAAGGGAATGTTTTCTTTAAACCAAATGAAACCCAGCTGAATCCAAGAGCAAATTTAGAAGTGATAAATACCAACAAAGCGTAATCAGTATAATTCAAAAGGGTGACATTTTGTTATGTACTTTGGAAATGCAATATAAACTTTCACGTAAAAGATTAGCTCTGGCCATTTTCTCAGGTGCTGTTTACACTTAATGCACATTTTTCTACAAACATATTCAGTACTCCTAGAAGCTGTCAGCATGTGATAGCGGCTACACCCCAGGAACAGCTTTGACTGGTCGGTTAAACCAGGTGAGGGTAGCTCATGGGTTTCAAACCCTTGCTGAGTTACTGACTTCCCCTGCATGCAAAGACAGACTCCGGCAGATTGAGCGGATGAGACCAATAGGAGGTCCAACAGTCAAGAAAGCAGTTTCTGCATGAGCTGTAGAGGGAAGTGAGGGGCAGATGGGGCTTCTCAACCTGGGAGGGTAGTCCATCAAAAAGAAGGAAAATTCTGCTCCTAAACATCCAATGCCTTGCAGAACATCTTTGGGAGAAGAAAAGGCTCAGGAGTAAACGCTACACCAATCTGAAGTAGAATCCCTAAGACGGTTCGATGGCACCTTGTACGCTTCCTTCCAGCAACTTCTACAGCCAAGCTAGTGCCAAACGTAGTCCAAAGGGAAGCAGAGCAATACATCAGCGAGGCTTGCGCCTCGGGTCACTTCTGTGATGCTAACGCAGCAAACATAACACAGGAGGCAGCAGTTATGAGTTACCGACACAGCAGGTGCTATGCTTCTCCAGCAGTTTGGCTTTGCTCCTGGAGATGCACTCCATTGTCTCTCAAGACAGACGGATGCCAACAAGTATTTGAAGACGTTGTACATTATACATTGCTTAGAATCAGGGTAGCTGAACAAATGCATGTTCCTACTTCAAACCTCCCATGCATAGGTCAGCAAATGATGCTTTTAGATGCCCTTGACATATGAGGTGAGGCTAATGTGAAACCAGAGGCCTTCTACAGCAAAGATGTCTCCTCAGACAGGCTCAGCTGTGGCTATTTTGCTATCCTTTGGAGCCAGGAAAAAGTCTTTATGTTCTTCCAGACCTTTTAAAGACTGTTTTAATCTGCTGCATTTAATTGCTGACATTATTTTTATTGCATGTCTTACTCTTGTTTTGCATTGCATTTTGTTTTTATTCTGAGTG